ATTTTAAAGACTAACACAAAATTGTGTAATTTATTGGAGGGATATATTTTCAGATGATAGTTGATAATTCCGAAGGGAAAGCGACATATAATTCTACCTTTACTCAACATCCCCCACCCCTCTCCCGACTTCATATAATTATTTTATGTGAAGTTTTCAAATGTTTCTTGGGCAGTGAATTCAGGTATCAGATGCGAGCGAGTAGGACACATGTAAGGTTAAAATGTGAATCGACTCGAATCACATACGAAATTATCGAGGCACATGGCATGCAATTAGTTGTATCATGACCAATTCTGTAAATATATTTTATTTTTTTATTTCTTGGGTTTTTTTCCAGTTACCTATTCTTACCCTTAATCCCAGTCGCTTTGAGCAATATACATGTAAACTATATAAATATTAATTGTTGTTATTTCGATTCTGTTTTTTTTAAAGACATATTTTCCTCTGTAGAGGATGTGGCCTGGTCCTGACTGTACTGCAATACTAGGTCAACCCGTGGCCAGGACGGAGCAAGCTCATGTTCCATAGCTTAAGTTAAAAAATCAGTTTAATATTCGAAGCTACTCAATGTGCAGCGTTTCAGATATTAAGCTGAAAAGAACAGATACTACACATGATCTTAGCCAAAAGGCCGAGAAGCGATACCGTTAAAATGTATACTTAGTATATATATTCAAGATTGACAATACACCCAACTGGTGTCAAAATATCATATACATAGAAAGCTGGATGCAAATTTACGAAAATAAATTTTATAATTATAAATAAATATTGCTTGTTTAGTTAATGTGTCATATATATGTTAATGTATATATACTATAAATTACGTTTTCATATAAAAGGTCATAATATGCAAATGAGAACTCAACAATAGTGAATCAACGGAAGCTAGTTCTGCTGTGTGCAACCAAGCATATCAACGTTTTGATAACGTTACGTAACTCGTTTTTCATTGGCAGCCAACAGTCAACGGGTAGCTAGGTATGCTGTGTGCAACCAAGCATATCAACGTTAATTATATATCAATAATGTAAACCTTAACGCAATTATTTACATATAATCTTTTAGATGTATATGCATTATATATAAATAATGGGTGATCTATTCAATAATATGTTAAATAATGAATTATATATAAATAATTGTGTTAAATAATAAATTTACACTTGGCGCCTCATAGAAAACTAGCTCTGCTGTGTTTTTGTAAAAGTTTCATAATTTGATTTTCATTGGTAGCTTACAGAAAGATTTTGCTTTTCTCAGCAATCTTCTTAACAGTCATAATCATTATTATTTAATATTTCGACATCGTATCTATATACTTTACTTTATACTTGTTTTGATATAAGCTATAGGAAAAACTTTGCTGAGGCCATGACCAAAATACAGTACTGTACAGGATTCGCAGTTTCATATGCCTTAATATCTCTGGGTTTTTTTTATGTTACTATGACTACCTAAGAAATGATGTGCCACTTTAAAGGTTATGTTTTGCTTGGTCATTTTGATTTACAGTGCAATGTAATTTTATCTGGTTCAATATTTGTGACGTTTAATATTAATGTTGAATTTTCTTTTTATATACTGTTTCGCTACTTCGAATTTTACGAGTTTTAATTTCAAATTGGATCTTTAATCTACGATTTTGTGTATACTGTAGTATTTTATAGTTCAAAATCGTAATTCCCAATTTCTATAAGTACAGTATTTTAAAAAAGCATAATTGATTTAAAAGTAGTACAGTAATTCATTATAACTCGCTTTCCATTATTTGTTAACTGAAAAACTTTGCTTTTCTTAGCAATCTTCTTGACATAATCTGGTTCAATAACTGTGACGTTTATTATAATGTTGAATTTTCCTCTTGTTGTTTTTCTATTTCCAATCTTATGTATTTCAATTTCAAATATTGATCTTTAATCCACGACTTTGTGTGTAATGTAATATCTTATACCTTATTCATTGTTTTTCTATTTCCAATCTTATGTGTTTCAATTTCAAATATTGATCTTCAATCCACGACTTAGTGTGTAATGTAATATTTTATACCTTATTCATTGTTTTTCTATTTCCAATCTTATGTGTTTCAATTTCAAATATTGATTTTTAATCCAAGACTTTGTGTGTAATGTAGTATTTTATACAATAATTCAAAATCGTCATTCCCAATTTCTATAAATATTGTTTGTATTAAAGCAAATATTGATTTGAAAGTAGTATAATTCATTAGAACTCACTTTTCATTGGTTGCTAACTGAAAACTTTTCTCAGCAATTCTTTTGACATAATCTGGTTCAATAATTGTGACGTTTAATTGATTATAACTAAATTTTCATTGGTCGCTAACTGAAAAACTTTGCTTTTCTCAGCAATTCTTTTGACATAATCTGGTTCAATAATTGTGACGTTTAACATAATGTTGAATTTTCTTCTTATACATTACAGCATTTGCTATTTCAAATTTTGTTTTTCAATTTCAAATATTGATTCTTAATTCACGATTTTTATGTGTATAATGTAGTAATTCATAATTCAAAATCGTCATTCTAAATTCTATATATATTGATGGCAATAAACATTATTTTGCTATTTCAAATTTTATGTTTTCAATTTCAAATATGGATATTTAAATCACGACTTTTATGTATATAATGTAGTATTTTGAATAAAAAATGTTGATGGCAATTAAACAATATTTTGCTACTTCAAATTTTATGTTTTCAATTTCAAATATGAATATTTAATTCACGATTTTTATGTGTAGTAGTATTATAATTCAAAATCATCATTCCCAATTCTATAAATATTGATGGCAAAAAAGTTTAATTGATTTGAAGGTAGTATAACCATTAAAGTGTCAGAATTTCCTTCAGACAATATCAGAATATAGTGTGTGTATGATGATTGGTCAATACTACCAAAGAGTATAAAATTGCAAGAGGTCCGACTGCCCTGATTTTGTATGCAGGCAACGGAACACTAAAAGTACTGCCACGAAATGGGGGGGGGGGGGAAGCGCCCTACACATAATTTAGAATCTCGTTGCTCGAATCTTTTAAAGGCCACGCCCCTTCATGGAAGTACTTTTTGCGTTCCAACGAATGCCCGGCAGTCGGATCTCTTGCAGTTTTACTCTTTGATACTACTCTATGTACATGTTTGCACAACGTTAAAAAACATTACTTACTTTATAAATCAACGTACATTATCTTTATATTATGAAGCAAGTGGCTTTTTTTTTTGTAATCTGAAGTTCTCACATGTATATTTCTATCCTACATATCACATATGTGTTTTTGATATTATCATTATTACAGCATTTTATTTATTAATATATTGTAAAATAATATTATAATATTGAAAAGTATATTGCTAGGTATGCGAGTAGCACATAACATTGATTTGCATTGAAATTTTTAAAATTTAGTGGAAAAACGGGGGCACGTGCCCCCCGTGGCCCCTACTGGATCCGCCCTGCTATAAATCTGTAGGTAAGAATGAAGTACACCAACCAATATATTCAAGTTTATTTTTAAACAAGAGAAATGTATTGTAAATTGAAAATCTTTTTTTTTAAAACCACAATAACAATTTCAATTTACAATATTATATTCAAACTAGATGAAACTATTGCAACACATGAGAAATGTATTGAGGCAAAGAATATACAAGTGATTTTTTATTATTGAAAATACAGCCTTGTTTGTGAATGTATTATATTTAAGTGTAGCCATGTTACATGCAACATTTTATTGACTAACCAAAATAAGTTATGATACAAGTGATCAACAGCAGTCCTTGGTGTAGTGAAGTGAGGTAAAATTTCAATTCAATTCAATATTTATTTCTTTTATTTGTCACACAATACTTAAAAACAACAAAACTCCTGATAAACTCAAAGCTTACAATGCACAAAAAAACAAACATCACAGGAGATACATTAGAGATACATAAAGTATCACCTTTCATAATGATTCAATGTTGTATTATGAAAGTTGATAGGCCTGGCGGCTGGACCTCTGATGATTAGTGCCCAAAATTTATTACAAAAATAACTTTTTAAAATTTTTCATGCAATGTAATATCCAAATGTAATTTCCTTTCGGACAATAAAGTTTTTGTATATCTTGTATTGTAATATAATAATCACATATTGATAATTAATATAATTTTTGGTAATAATTCAGCCGCTCCAAGTTTCTTTCCTATTCTTCTTATTGTATTGCATTCATTATTGATAATATACTAAAAATTAATAAACATAGGACCTTTACTAGAACCTAGGCCTAGAACGTGTGTGAACGTTGTTTGCATTGTATACTCAATTCAAGTTAGCTGGTCTCGTGACAATCTTCGCCACTCTCGAAAGGCTCTCTTTCAGAAAGGCTTCTATAAATGGATGTCTATGAGCAGAAAATAAAGTTGTCACTCCTCAGTACCACCGGATGGGAAATTTACCGATAGTTCCATAGTCCTCTTCCATTTTCTGAGCCTGGCATTGGTGCCCTCAAAAATACCCTGAATATTGTTGGTGTGTGCTTTGGTGGTGGGAAGTAAAATTTTAAGCTTTGAAGAAAGAACATTGACATGTGCAGAGTCTCCCTTAACCTACCTTGTCTTTGTTGCCCTGAGTTCCTCTGCCAGTTTGTTATTGCTATCTTCCAGCTGCATCTTTTCCTCATTAAGTATTAATTTAGATGTTGCTATATTTTCTGACTCTTCCATTAACTCCTGAAGACGAGCCTCCAGCTCTTTGATGACATTTGCCTCAAGGAGTAATAAATATAAATGTTCAATTGTATTTTTTAATTAAAAATATAAAATATGTTCAATAATTTACTAAATACAACCTACTGACAAGAGTGCATCACACTCATAAAAAAGCTGATAAACTGCAAAAACATCAATACAGTCATTCATTCATCCCTTCATTCATTCATTCATCCATTCATATCATCCACTCACATATTCATCTACTCATTCAATTTAAGTGTTCATACTTTATTATTAACATAATTCATTTATTCCTACTTTCATATATTCATTCATTCATCTTGCAAATAGTTAATCAGCTTATCTTGTACATGTTCAGTGCTCTTCCAATTGAAACATTTTCACTGGTAAATTTGTCCATAGAAAAGGGATTTAATGACTTGAAAAAACAACAACCCATACAGTCAAAGCCAAGGCATAGACTGGAATGATGTTCATTTATTGAAAAAAGGTCAGCCTAGACTACCTAGGCCTAACCAGTGGACATTTAATCCTACAAACACCAAATTTTTAGCAGTTGGCCGGTTATTTTTACTGGTAAATTTGATGGCTAAAACTGAATGGCAACTTACATGTTTTTCTACCTGTGATCCGTAGTCTTCTTCCATCTGTTGAAGCCGGGCATTGGTGTCCTCCAGAATCCCCTGAATATTTTTTGTGTGTGCTTTTTGCATCTCAAATTTCTCCTGTTCAAAATCTGCTATGGCGTCATGCAACTGTTGTCAATAGATTAATACAATTGCATCAGTTTTATGTAGCTAATTAACTAGGTATTTTCAGCCTAAGTAATTAAGTTCAACACCAAGACCATTAGTCCCTCATTTAACAGCCAAAAAATACTACAGTGCACCCTCCAATTCTAAACCCCTCTAATTCAAGACCACTTTTTCAAAGAAACAAATAGCAATCTTCTATCTTAACACAAAGCTAACACAGAGACCATCCCAATTTTCAGGTCACAAAGTGGTCTCGAATTGGAGGGTGAACAATCTGTATTTATATTAGCAGTTGACCTGGAACAGTTCTGCAAGTGGCAATTTATTGCTGTTGGTTTGGAAATATATAAATAACTAAATGAATGAATGAATGAATGAATAAATGAAAGAATGAATGAATGAATGAATGAAAGAATGAATGAATGAAAGAATGAATGAATGAATGAATGAATGAATGAATGAATGAATGAAAGAATGAATGAATGAATGAATGGATGAATGAATGAATGAATGAATGAATGAATGAAATGAATGAATGAATGTCTCATCAAATCATACTTGTTTATCATGTTGGTTCTGTGTGGTTTTGCTGGTGTGTTCCATCGCAGCCTTCAGTTCTGCTACCTGCCTCTCCTTGCTTTCCCGAAGTAATGTAACTTCATTCACCAGCAAATTCACTGTTGAAATAATACAATACGCTTAATAATTAATAACAACTACTTTGAAAACTAAATTTCAACAGCTGTGTATGCTGCTAAACATACATGTTTGATTGGTTTTTTTCTTTCTTGTTCATTCTAGGAACGGTTGGCGCAGGTGTTGTGGCTCATCAGTGAACCTTACATTCAGGGTTCAACGCCATCACTGTCAATAGACCTTTCCAGAGTGTCAAACTTAATAATCTGACCAATCAGAACAGCGCTAGGAATACACGCGCGTCTCACAAACACACGTTTTGTTGAACCTTAGCAACAATATCCAATGGGCAGGGCTTAGTGGAAAGGTCCATTTAGCTTGCATTTTTGAGCAAGAATCTTTATCTATGTTTATCAAATTGGTTTAAAAAATCCTTTGGAATAAGTCAATAATATAAATGTCAACAACATATTCAATACACTCAATAATATAAGAACTCACCCCTTTTCTGTAGTTTTCTATTAGCATCTTCAAGATCAGAGCCTTTCGTTCTGTAGTGACTCTTTATATCTTCAAGTTCTGCATTCTTTCTGTCCAGAATCTGCAGAAAATCATTGTAAAGTCCTGTCCAGAGACTATCACATTTTATTTGACAAAAGCATGTGACATTTACATCATGACCATTTATAGGAATATCATGACTATATATAGGCATACAACAGATTTCTTTTGTCAAAGGAAATTTGATAGTGTGACAAGTAGAGTTGAAAAGTATCTTTTATATAGTGACAATTCCAAATTATTGATCAAGGGTGCAAGAACTTTATTAGATGGCTTAACCCGACCACTCACTGCGTCCGATGGATGTCAACCATTGCGATTCTACGGAGAACGCAACACCACAACATGCGAGCAACAGTTCGTTTTTAATGACATCCATCCATTCAGCAGACAGCGTCACATTATCTAACACTCACAGGGAGGAGAGCTGGATTTGTTGGCCTTCGGTCGTATGACCGTTGAACGACTAATAAGTTCCCGCCCTTAAGTCGACAAACAAGGGCTTAGTCAGAGAGTCGTCCGGATGTCTTTTTACGCCCAATAATTATTTAAGACGCCCACTTTTAACGTGACGGCTTGGCCTACTGTTTGGGGAGTATACCTAGTTGTTTATGTGTACTACAATATTTCGTAAACCATCCATTTTACCTTTTGTATTGCTTGATCATGTAGTTGTTGGATTGTTAGTTTCTCTTCATGGAATTTCGCTTCTAACATCTTAGTTTTCATCTCCATTTCTTTTTCATGAGCTCGTACAATAGCGCCCTCATCATTAGCGACTGAATCTAATTAAAAATAAATCACATGATATTAATCTAGAGATGGAGAAATACATTTATTAGTGATTCATAATGAAAATAGTTTTTGTTTGTGAGAAGAAATTATTCAAAGTCTACAAAAAATAAAAGAGGAATCTTAAAAATAGACAAAAGGACAACAAAATACCTTAACACCGAACCATTCGTATAACTCCGAATGTTATATCAATAGACCAGAATTTATGGTAAATTCAAGTGTAAGTAGTGATTAGAAGGTTTTTCATTCTTTTAACGTTTTATGTCAGAATCATCTTAGAACTTTCAGGGGTCCCAAGATGAAGAAAGTCAATCCTGGGGGATCTGCAGCGGCAGATCTAAGAATTTGAAATAGAGGGGAGGGCTTTAAAAAATATAGGGTCTATACCACCTCAACCTCACCATCAGCTGTGATATGACTTGAAATACCTTTATGATGTCCGGCAGTTGCTTTAAGTTGTTTAGACATTGTATCGGTGTCAGACTCCGACAACCAATCTGGTTTAATTGCTGCATCACTTCTAGCCTTTGCATCACCCTACAAAAATACATAAATACCGGTATGTTAGCCACTGCAGCTTAGTGGAAACACCTGCACCTTACTATGTTTGTTGAAAAGGCTACTGGGGCAGATGCAGGATTTGGCGAGGGGGTGCGTGAGAGTCCAAACCTCGAATATGGAGCTTATCAAGGTGCCCAGAAATTGTTCTATGTTAATATTGATAAATATAATATATCAACAATACACAACTATCTTTTTCAATACAATTTAGGGGGGATGCAATCGCGGGGCTCATAAGCAAGATGCTCCAAGAGTCTCTACTATCAAGTAAACAAGTAAAGTTATGCTGGGCACACACGGCACAAAGGTAGTTGGCCCACGCATGGAGAACACAACGCAACAAGACGCACACACACGGCATGAATGTAGTTGGCAACGCATGGAGAACACAACAAAACTAGACGAAACAGGTAGTGACAGATTTAATGACATCTGCTCAGACATTTTGGAAATGTTCACCGTCATATGAAAACTGGGAAATTATTACCTTACTCCGTCGGGGAGATTTCAATCTACGCACTGGAGCCCCATTCTCTTTTTCATCATCTGACGATAAGTTATATAATGGTTTACTCCTTGACCGAATACTTTCCTAGAAAGATTTTTGGAATAAACATAATCATGTTAATATCATAATCAATCGACTTTCACAATTATAAATATATAAATCTGCAATCAACAATCATCGGATAAGCTGTGCATTAGGTACAATATAATCCGAACTGGGAAGTGTGCGGGAAAAATAATAAAATAAATAAATAATAGTAATAAAATAATAAATAATAATAGTAATAAAATAATAATGAAAATAATAGAAGTAGTAGTAGTAATAATAATAATAGTAATAATAATAATACATAATAATATTAATAACAAATAATAATAATAAAAATAATAATAACTAAATAAATAAATATGCATTATGCTGACAATACAAAGATACAAATCATTATCTATGCACAGAATTTGCTGGTCTTTCTCTGTAAAAAGCAGTGTATATGTCAACTAATATCACTCATTGACGGCCTGATGTCCTCAAGACAGAGGACAGCTAACAAAACAAGTAATAACCTTACCCTTGCCTTTGCAACTTTTGCCTCGAAATCGGTGTCACTAGGACGAGAGAGGATGTCATCAGCTGTTTTTGTTCGCCTGCAAATACACAATTCAAAAACAAACGTCATTCCTCCCATGTTAATTAAAAAAAACTAAAATGGAACATCTACGCACTTTGGCGCATCTAAGTTTATTAGCTGATGCCGATGGCAGTGAGTGCCCCTCCCATGTGCTATGTTTGTTTATGCACAAACCAAGCAGACTTTACTCTCTTCCTTACCTACAAGTAATAATCATTTTCTTTAGCTGATATATCTACTAACCTTCTAGGAGACCATGTCACCTCGGTGTTGGGGTCAATGTGTTGTCTGCTTCTAAGAGTTGATGATGAACTTGGTTCTCCAATCTTGATTGGATGAGTGGACGAGAACTCACCAAGTTCGCCTGTCACCCAATCAGGTAGGAAATGGCTTTTTTGACTCTTATCCTGTACACTGATTGGATCGTCAAAATAGATTGCCTAGGTAAGAAAGATTTAAGACAAAACCTATTTAAACCTTTTTGCTAAGGTCATGAGTTTGGTTAAACTTAGAGCAGACTGCTCAGTGTTCTGTAGAGCCCATGTTGTCTGAGTGGATCGTCAATGACTTTGAACCCCTGCAAGTCATTGCACCGTGCACTTATGTTGGCTACAAACATAGTGTGCGGCAAGCTTAAGGATCCACAGAGAGTACACGGTTATTATATTTCAAAATCAAGGTCAAAGTAAAATTTCATTGCTCGTTTTCAGTATAAACACATTACATTTTATTAAATGGATAAAATGTTAAAATAACGACAAAACTATGACTATCAAAAAAAAATTACAAATTCGTAAAAAAACAGCATATTATCCTATAAAACTGTTATGTAAGGAAAAGAAACAGAAAACTTAAAATATAAGTAAGATTTAACCTTAAAAAAAAACAAAACAAAACAAAACACACAAACACTCTGGGAACTATTTCCACATTCCACAAAAACAGAGGTAGTATTTGAATAACAGATAATAAATTGACAATTAAAATTGGGAATTTTAGATTATCTATCAATGAAAATCTATACCCAGGGAAATAAAGTCAGTACTTGACACACAATTGATCATAAGTAACAATAAAAATACTACAGACCATGTACGATGGGAGTGTCGGCAGTGGTCCACTTTCTGGTTTACTGGTGAATGGACCTTCGATCACTCCTCTTTTGAGCATGTGCAGTAAGAGCTTCGAATACATATTCCGATTTTTTCTAATGTAATAGATAATAATGAATCAATATTGTAAAGGTGGGTAGAAAATAAATCAAATTTTATGTAACAATTAAATGTGATATGCCCATATTTGGTTGTAATACGACATCATGCCCATATATGGGCACCTCACACAAATTTGTCGCATAAAATGTTATAGTGTAGACTGGGCTAAGGTAGATTCACACAGAATCCAAATTCTTAGTACGTGCCTCTATTCTTTAACACTGATTCGATTTTGTATTTTAGTTTCGTTAGCCATACGACCTGAATTCGGATTTGATGTGAGTCTACCTTTAGGATGACTGACTATAGTGGCGGATCAAGGAATTCAAACTAGAAGACAAAATTGAAGCCAGTGGGCGTGGCACTCAGTTGATGGGCGGACCACGCCCATCTTTGGGAATCCCCACATTGGTACGAAAACAATGTATGTACATTCAATCAATAAATGTTGTTTTTATAAAAAATAAATTTGATTTAGCTTTAATTTAATGTAACATTTAATAGATTTGAAGAATATAAAGAATTTGCTAAAGGTAGACCAGGCCCAATTAGGCTAGGCCGAGCTGATTAGGCCAAGCCGTCCAAGCCATTTGGTAAAAGTGGCCATCCTAAATAATTGTAGGCCGTCCAAAAGACGGCCGGACGGCTTGCTGGCTAAGCCTATGATGTTCAATACTGTAAATGTTTCAAAAAACACCTCTCTCAAATAAGCCCCGCTCTTGGATAAGCCCCATACCAAACATGTTCTGTTCTGTATTGGCAGTACCTATTATTCTTACACCAGTTCCAAATTCTTATTGGATGTTACTGTATTTATGGATTGGACTAGGACAATAAAATCCAAACGGGCATTAGGAATTTGTTTAAGACTGGTGTAACTACAATCTACTGCCTATTTCATTACTCACCTGCCTATGACACCTGATCCATGTGGCTCGCATAGTTTCTTGATCCATAATGCACAACACTGCCTCTCTGTATATAAAAATAAAAATAACATAATGCCCTCTTATTGGGAGTATATAATATTTTTGAATTTATTAGGGTATAATATGAATTTAAAGAGACCACAATGAAAATAAATTAAGTGTTAACTTTGGTTACTTTCTTTTCTATTTTTATCCTTGTAATACATTTTTAAAATTTAAATAAAAGAAATAAATAATTCACTTTTTATTATGGTAATTTTAACAAATTTTGAATTTTTAATATTTTATAAAATTCTATAGTTAACATTCATTTTACTTAAGGATTTATAAAAAAATTACATTGTAGCCAGTAGCTAAATTGCTTAAAAATTTACAAAAAAAAATCATAAAAAGATATATTGCAGATTAAAATGGTACTAAAAGAGATAAAAACGAATTGGAGTCCTAAAACTACCGAATAACAAACACTAAGCGACCGTATATACTCGCATATAAGGCGACTCACGTATAAGATGATCTACGACTTTAAAAAAAATATTTTTGGACGATTTTTGTATGTCGGGCGTACAAGACAGCCCCCTGTTTTATGGTCGGAATTCCTACTTTTTTCTGGTTTTTATGGTCCACATAATGCACAGAGCTGGCTAAAAATGAAACCAAATGTGAGGCTAATCTTCCAAATAATACCATTTTATGAGTTTTTACAGTAAATTTAGTAGCTTCATTGCAGTAGTAGATTTGCATGTTACGGACGATTCGCACATAAGACAAACATGATTTTAAAAATCTTAAATTTGTATGTCGTGCGTATATGACGACCCCCTGTTCGATCGTAATTTGCTATTTTAAACTTCGTCTTATATGCGAGTATATACGGTAAAACACAATAAATATTTAAAAGATTTTTAAAGACAAGACAAGGACCAGACTTTCAAATACATATGTGAATCATAAAATTATATTCAAAAATTTTAACAATATAATTCACATGCAATTAGGTACAGTATTAGCTCAAAAAATTGATGAGATGAAATAAATGATTAAACATTTGTAGGTTTTTTTTGGGTGTTTCGCCGTGAGAAAGAGAAGCACAGAAAAAAAGTGGCCTGCAAAACAATGTGGAAGGGGAGAGAAACATGTATGTATTTTATAAAAGCTGGGTCTACAGTAATTAGTGCCAGAGTTCTGTTGCCCTTTTGTTTACCTGACTTGTGTGGTAATCGCAGAACAAACGGTTTCATCTGTACAAGGTGATGATCAAATTCCTCATCTTGTTGACGTTTCCTTGCCTCCTGGCTGGAATCCATTGTTGTGTGTTAGATGACTACAGCTTCATATGTGTCAACCTTGAAACTAAGTCTACTAAACATTTCAAAATATTTGTAAATGCATGTATCACTACATGTAACAATTTTCACAGAAGACAATAAGACTGTCTGCTGTGCCAAAAAATAAAAACACAAGAGCAGTATACAAAATCAGTGGTAGGGGAGGGGCAGGGGGACATTTGCCCACCTGTCATCCAATGAATGGTTAGGTCATCGGACGAAAAATTTAAAAAAATAAAAATTTGCCTATTCAAATAATGCTATTTTGATTGTCAAGTCCCTAATACTGTAGTCTAAAAGCAAATTTAGGACCAATTAAACCATAAAAACTCTCCCCCATGAACCCTAAACCTCATGAAACCTAACAGGGATTTTTTTTTATTCCTAAGCTAGGAATGCTTCGTCGTCACCTTGGTTAAGACCGCTCCGTCCAAGACAGTACAGTAATGATAATAATTAAATATTAGTAATTAATGATATTATGAATACAGTATTAAAAATCTCTGCCTTATGGTACAAAAAATATTAAACTTTGTGGCTAAAGATATGGTAACACATCTAGATGGATTCAAATAGATACTCCTGGCCCACATTGTAAAGTATATTTTATTTGCATGGAGGATATCTTGAAAATGAACTCAAATTTGGGTGGAATAATCACTAGGAAATTAGGTGTGCTTAGCCATACTACTGCTAATACATTTGTTGTATATTACTGAGAGAAAAAGAAATTGTGTGAAAATCAGCCTTCTTTTGTTCAAAATGTGCAGACGGAATTCTAATTTTTTGGGGATAGGGCCTAGGCCAATATTATACTATATGCTGGCCCTAGGCTAGGAAGTGTAGGCCTGTCAGGAAAAATTTGGTCCGGGGCAAAAATCGGTCCGCTGGGCCGATTGTGGCTTTAAAATTACCTGCCAAATGTACAGTAGTCCACATAAGCCTAAATCGGTCCGGGGTCTATTTAGTAGTTATAACTCGTATTTTTGTAACGTTGTTCATATTTTTTTTTTAATCAAATGATAGATAAATATCTTATCTCTCATTATATATGTTTTCATTCGTTATGTGTGAAATCATAGGTGAAATTAAGTAAAGCTTGGCGCCCAGTATACCCTTTGGTGTAACAGTACGAAAAGAAGTCAAACGATGTGGTCTTAAATTGTGTTGGTCCGCATTAGTTTATGTTTTTACCCTGTTTTGCTTTGGTTGTGTTTGCTTAACGGCGCGACGAAGTACATGCATTCAATTCCAAGAATTCTGACCCCTTTATTTCATGTATTAGAGCATCTATTGTGTGATCTAATACCCCACACAATAATCCAGAATATTTAAAACTAATAAATTAGTCTTGTGTTTCATTTTAGGCCTAATTCTAGGCATAACCACAGCCGCCGAAAATGATGCATGCTGTGTGTATCAGTCGCCTAGGCCTAAGAAATGCATTATCAGATTGGTTTGATAAAACACATCCTCAAAAGCTTTATACGAATCATTCTGTCACTGCAGACTTTGCAAGTGTGGGAGAAGCATAAATTACTTTCCTCCACTCCACGGGAAAAACAGTCATACCCTACGAGCAGCAGTCGAGATACCGTGACCAGGCCAGACCGACACAGACCAATTTTATCCAAGCAGGACCGGCTTTAACGGCTGAAGTCAACCCGGAGGACGATTTTAGCAGTGCGGCCAAAATCTGTCCACCGGACATTTTTTGGCCTGGACCAATTTTGACGTAACAGGCCTACAGCAGTACACGCTTACCTAGCTAGTTATTATAGGCCTAGGTCTAAGCTAGGCCTACTATACTTTCAGTACAGTACTGTGTAGCATGTAGGCTTGGCTTAGCTAGGCCTGCTGCTACTACTCTTGGGCCTAGGCTAGGCTAGCTAGGCCTAACCAGCTAGGCCTAGCTAGCCTAGGGCCTAGGCTAGTACTAGGCCCTAGTACTCGGCTCAAGCAGGCCCGGTTTATTAATTAGGCTTCTTGAATCTTCTCCGAATACAGGCTAGTATTTATCAGTTGGACGATCATTGTCATTATTTACCTGCAACTTTAAAGTATTAGGTTAAGAATCAACACTCTGAACCATGTTTTTTTGTTTTGAAAGATTCAAACAGTAATTGACTCGCGCCATGACGAATGCAGTCTCTCTCTCCGTGACGACACCAGCACGGCACCTCGACATGTATGGGCGGTCATTAGGGTCAAAATAAAAAACTCAACAAACAAGGACAAACTCAAGAAGCAAAGCACAAACCATGGACCTATTAATAAGATCTTATTAATAGGTTCATGCACAAACCCAACATAGGACAAACTCAACAAACAAAAGACAAACTCAACAAACAATCTCAACAAACAAAGGACAATCTCAACAAATAAAGGACACACTCAACAAATAAAAGACAAACTAAAAAAAAAAAATTCCCATCCAACAAACTACAACCAAATAGCGTACACCACCAGCGAGCAAAGAACAATTTCCCATTTTAGACTTTCCCGTCCAACAATATTACTACAGGCCATCAACAGACAGATCCATCATGCAAGTTTCACAGCTACCACAGGCCAGCCAAGTATAGGACAGTTTGGCAATTTGTTGGCGCTTCATTTTGACTATAAATGGTGATGTCATGACGATAAATTTTACTATATGAAGGTGTTCCGTTCATCTAGAGCTATTTCCTAAAATTTTCACTCACGAAATGTCCCCCCACCATTTGAAACAGATCTGCGCCCTTGTCAAATCCACCCCTCCCCCCACCCACATTGCTTGGTGCTTCGCAAATTGCATTATCCACCCCACCCCCCATTGTTAAATCCTAGATCCGCCACTGGGTGTACCCGGCATACAATTTATTATTATATATTCAGTATATAATATATAATTGAAGTTCATTCGTCAATACTGCTCATTTCCGACAAACAGCTTCATTTATATATATTATTATATATTATACTGCTCAGTTCATCTACCGGCCGCCAATTAAAATGTTAAACTTTCTACTCACCCTATGCTGTATATTACACCAATTAAAGTGTGATGACGTTATGTAGTGGCGGATTTAGAAGGGTGTACGGGGGTTTCCCCGACGAGAAAAAAATGGGCGTGGTCGGGCGTCGCTAACAACCTGTCGAAAGTGGTCCCGGGTGCTGCCAGATAGAACAATTATGCTAGGTCTGGTCACTACGCCGCCAGTGGCAGTATAGAATGCCAAAAAAGCAACTTTCAAAAAGTCGTTAGTCAGGCACCGATTGGTAATTCAAACCATTATTTATGTACAGTATAAAAATATCCTTTTGGGGATTCTGTCTTGTCGTTAAATGCAGGATGAGGGCAAATCATATTGATCTCGGTTTTGGTTATTTGCAGTGCATCGAGAACGAGGGTTATTCCATGCATGTGCAAGAGTGAAAAATGCTAATGCTATGAAAGCTCAACTTTCCATCAGACGAAATATCACCAAGATTATACTGTACCCAAAATCCATAAACAAAACTGACAAACTAAGATAAATGGTCGATTTAAACATGAGCACTCTTTTCCACCAATCAAAAGCACTCTCACATACCTTTGGTTCAAATCAACTATTCCTCCAACTCGATCATTTTCGCACCCAGTGGTGGCTCCATAAATTTGCCGACAAGGGGTCCGACATATCTGACAGGGGTCAGAACCAAAGGGGACGACTAGAGCCAGGTCCGAGTCCCGGGATAAAAATTCCCTCTTAGGGTTCACAGGGACAGTTTTTATGGCTTAGTATGGTCCAAATTGTGCTTTTAGACCACAATATTAGGAATTGGCAACCAAAATAACGTTATTTAGATAGGAAAATTGTTATTTTTGACCCGGCGATCTCCTTGTGGTGTTGGACAATAGGGGGTCCAGGCCTGTCCAACGGGGAATTCCCTCCATTCCCCCTTGCCTGTTGGCGCCACCACTGTTATAGCAAAGCCTAATACCTTATCACTGCGCTAACTCGTCATAATATTTCTGATCTAAGAAATAAAGAAGCAAAACAAGTCTGAACAACAAAGGATTTGATTGGCGTAATTTCCTTTATTACATTCAACGTACAATTTACATTTCCTCTTCCTTATTAATCATGACGTGCTGTGGGATTTCCTGCGCCCTCAAGACACACCCCTTTAATATTAAACAAGGAAAGCAGTACTGATGATGACATAATTAATGTCGAAATATTGAATCCCGACACGATGGCATGCATTTCGATACTTGGAGTATGTATTATACTATCTTATTTGAGATTAATCAGTGGACCCTTCAGTACTGATATCTATATCAATAACAAAATTGTCAACAATTTTTTTTTTCTTCAAATATTAACTTAAGTATTTCAAATTCAGCATTATAATTTTTAATTATCAGTATATGATCAATCTAATCTTAATTACAATAAATAACCTAGGTCTTACTGTCTAACAATCTCGCATTCAATATTGGAAATCTATAAATATAAACTATACTAAATTTCTTTATTAAACTAAACACTGAATCTATAAAGACTATTTTAAAAAAAATAAAAATTCCATATTACAAATCAGGTAAAAAAATTCTAATCACAAATAAAACTTATTGCAAAAAATATTAATACAAAATATGAATAAGCATATTTATAAATGAAAAGTATATAGCAATTTTTAAAAGAAATGTCACATGAAGCCAAAACTTTGAAACTTTGGCACAAATCACTCCCCATATTACATATTACAAATCAGGTAAAAAATCTTCTAATCACAAATAAAACTTGTTGCAAAAAATATTAATACAAAATATGAATAAGCATATTTATGAATGAAAAGTATAGAGCAAATTTTAAAAGAAATGTCATCTGAGGCCAAAACTTTAAAACATTGGCACAAATCACTCCCCATAGTCCACTTCACCCCCCTGCAATAGTATTGTTTACCTACCCCTGCAATAGTAATTTACACAACATATGATTCTGGAGGTGGAACAAGTCTTCTCGGATAAGGACTATAAACCGTAGGCCCAGTGTGGACAATAGAGTCATGTGCACTATAAAGGACCCAGTAAATCTTTTGAGACGAGTAGGGGGTTACCCTGGTATACTGGCCCATACAGCTCCTGTTGTGGACAGACGAGAGTAGCTGGCACTGATTTACCAGCCAGCTCAGACACAAAGGGACCCTCAGGGGAGAAGAAAGTCACTGTATAAGCAACTGTAGTCCACGCTTTGAGCGCTCTGATCTTCATGAAATAGCGCAATATAAATGATGTTATGTATGTACAGTATTTATGTGATGTGCCTATCCCATACATGTGCATGATGATGTCATTATATTACACCCAAATATAGGCATATCACATTTATTTGTCATACAACATTTGAGAGTGGGGACTGAATCTAAGTTACACAGCTCAAAATTCTTATAAGATATCTTGTACAGTACTTGGGATTTTGAGAAAAAGGATATATTAGCAATAGTGGTCATTCAACTTGGAAATTTAAGCTCGGCTCCTGGGGCCCCACAGTAGGTGCAGTAGAGCACCAGCAGACAACAATACTTTAACTACAATGTTATAACAGATAGAGACACAACAATAAAATGCAAGAATCTTACAACTTAACTAAATGCTGAACAAAAATGCCACTAAACTGTTAAATTCTATATAAAAATTACATCTTTTAAAAATATTTTGACTCATTCTTATTATAAGTACAATACAGTAGCAATTTATAGAATATTTTCAATTTTTTTTATAATTCTCTGACAACTTCTACACACATCTACCTAAAAGAATGTTTTAAAAATTGCATTGTTTATAGTTTAAAATGCACTGCATATTATGTTCATCAACTCAACATAACTCCAATCCGAGTAATAAAACTTAAGTAGAGTAACAGCCTTACTCGATAGCTGAACATGAAAGAAAAAAAACATGTATATGGAATAATTGTTTAAAAATAAACAACACTAAAAATTCTTCGCTCATCTTGTACAATAAAACTATAGAAGCTTGGCCCTACTACAAAATTATTTGTATATATATATTCTCGATATTTATGTAAAAATAATTGCAATTAAATATATGCATCCTGGAATCTTTTAGAAAATTAATTTATATAAAACATATGCATTGCAATTAAAATATATAAAATTATTTAATTTGATTATTTGCTATTATTGTAGCAAATAGCATAATTTATTGCACAATTACCAATTAGAGACTTCATCACTAACTAAAGATAATTGTAAACTAACATCAATTTATTTATTAAATAAATAAAACCAGATGGAATTATTAAAAATATATCTATATCATCAACAAGTATTGCCATCTTTGATTCAAAGGTCGGCTGTCATGTGTCACCACTGCTTGTGAGTCTCGGCCATTCTATATATTTTTTCATAATTTCTCATGTAATAATAAAATAATAATTTTATGTAATTTCTATTTCATTGGCTTGTTTAATTGAGCGCATCTTTTAAGTGTTCAGCTGAGAACTCACTTTATCTGACAGTCGACGATTGTAGAGATTCTATGGAGAACACAACGCCATGGTGCACACTCAATGGGTCGGTTTTAATGCTGATCAACTCAAACTACTACCGACAATCAACAGACGGCGTCATGCCGTCTTAGCGGTCACACGGAGCGGAGTTAGATTCGTTGTACGACATAGTGAGCCCCCAGCTTTATACACAGACTATTAAATCTTAGTCTCGCACTAAGTATTAGCAAATACAGCAGCTTAATGAAAATCACTGTGAAATGGTTAGCGAGCATAGTTGCTTTATTTGTTTATTTGAACTCTGGGATTGTAGAAAGGGTAAAATATAGGATTTGACAGGAAATCACAAGGTAAGCATTCTCCAACAATTCATATCTTACAGTATTATAAAATGGACTGCAGCAAACATACAATATTATCAAGCTGCATCGCACATATATTACACAATAGCCTCTTGCATGATTTTCATCAGTATTTGCACGTAAGCCAATATTTCATGATTTGTGAGTCAGCTAGTGGCAGTGCCAGCATTTGTATGAGGAGGGAAATTTTTCAAAAAGAAAAGAATTCTTGTTTTGGTCCAACAAGTCATGTCCAACAGGAAATTGGGGTGGCCTATTCAATGGGGAATTTTAAGCCCCTCTGCCACTTGTGTCCCTTGTACATCAATTCAGTCATCCTCATCTCGTTGATTACGGGCAAAATTCAGGAAAACTTGCTCAAGCGTGGTCTGGCTGACAGAATAGTCTTCGATGTTGTAAACAGCCTTCGCCTTCTCCATGGTACCGAACACAGAAGCCCAACTTAAGTCTGAGCTACGTATATGGTAATGTACCAAACCTTCATGCTCATCTTTAAGTTTGCTATCTGTTTGTGTGGAGAAAAAAATGTTAATTATTATGTAAAATAAACAAATTTTTCTTTTTTGATTCATGTGAGGATTCGTCTGACAGGAAACTTTTTGGCTGGGCCCCACAGGACTTGCAGCAGCTGCAGTTCCAATATGTAATGGACACATTGTCTCTTATCCCACCTAACTTTCATGTGAGGGTTATTCGAGGAGCAAAGTGACCCGACGCTGGCCAGGTTTGAACCGGCATAAGGAGCAGGGACATTAACTCTAGGCCAAAGGCTCAGCTGTAAAGAGGAGATAAACCTTTGACAGTTTTATACTAGCACCTTCTCATTCATTTGTTGGTATGAATCATAATCGATTCTAGTTGCTGTTATTACAGTAATTGACTGAAACAGTCGTAGCAGGGTCTGCGATGAGCAGGTTAACAGCATGACCCTCCCATTTATACTACTGAGTGAAGAGAGGCAAACGTAAGTAAAGTGTTTTGTCCACGGACAGAAGCAATGCGGTAAGCGTCGGTCTTGAATTCCCGATCAGAAGTAAAACACTTCATACGCTGTGCCACACACTCCCACCACCTTCTTACAGGAGCCAGAAAGTATATAAACACAGGTCCTATAAGGATCTGTGACATAACAAAAGATTCTAATGCAAAAAACACCATACTTTGCAGTAACAATGAGCAAGCCTCATCATTTAGTGTTGTATTATTAATAAAGAAATCCTGAACCTTACCTGGAAATTTTTCTTCAATAAACACTTTCAGTTGACATAGATTCTGTCCACTGCCATCTGGGGCAACCTTGGCTAGTAGCGTGTAGCCCTTGCCAAATCGGCTTTTCAGATGTTGTATACTACCAAGGCATTTAAATTTTCCATTCACCATTATTGCAAGACGAGTACATAGAGCTTCACACTCTTCCATGCTAAAATATATAAATAAATAAATATAAACATTATTATAAACATAATTACATGCGGGGCTTGTTATTTGAAAATTGCAGGTGAGCTAAAAAATACACCTAATTGATTATTTGTGGGAGGGGGAAATTTAAGCTTCTGTGAAATAGGTTTTAGCTCTGATGAGGAGCTCTAGAAACACTCGGCGGATTGATTAATAGATCTTTTTTAGATCTACTGCCTCTATTATACTGCCCTCATCAGGCTGATTGAATAATAGTTGATTTATTATAGATCTTTTTTAGCTCTACTGCCCTCATGAGGAGATCTAGAAACACTCAGCTAATTGATTAATAGTTGACTGATTAATAGATCTTTTTTTAGCTCTACTGCCTCTACTATACTGCCCTCATCAGAGCTTTAGAGATTACAAGAACTTGTTTCACACTTAATTACTAACTGTGGTCATTAAAGTGGTGTTAGATTTCAAAGCAACACAAAATACATCCTTAGCAGAAAGCGCAGCCATAGTATTTGGGGGTTTTTACTATTTTTAAGGTGAGCGATTTTCAAAGCCAAGGTGCTCTATTTTTCACACCTTTGAAGAGGAGTTTAGGTGAGTGATGGTTTGCGAGTGCACTTGCTCGCATTAAATCACAAGCCCTGTGAATGTTTAAAATACTATAAAATATAAACAATACACGAACACACTTATCAAGGTCAGCTTATGCCAACCTTACGACTCGTCATCTGTCCTCAACTAGTTGCGAGTAGTGCTTATTGTCATCGTCATCATCATCACCAACATTAACACTGTCATTAAGATACATTTAATTCTACTAACCTGTGCGATGTCAGAATAATGGAGCGTCCGGATGCTCTTATTTGGCAAATGGAATCCCACAGTAGCCGTCGTGTTCCAGGATCCATCCCAGTGGAGGGTTCATCAAGGAAAACGACTGGTGGATCCCCTATCAATGCAATGGCCGTATTCAGTTTGCGTTTATTTCCTCCACTGAAACAACATGGAAAAATATATGGTTTAGAAAATATGAGATTAGAAAACATATACACTGTAGTGCCTAATGCCAGACTGTGAAGTAGAAGAAGGACTCGATGATTTAGTTAAGTGATTTTTATCAACTTGAGTGCAGATACCCCACTGTACACAATAGCCACGCAACAAACGATGCAGTACTTACCTGTAAGCCTTGGTCTGTTTGTCAGCGTGTACATTGAGGCTAAACAGACTCAAAAGCTTCTCAACTTCCTTTGGTATCATTGCCTCCTTAACGCCACGAAGCCTAGCATACATGAACAACGTCTCCCTACCAGTCATCTCATCAATCAAAGCATCAAATTGAGGGCAGTAGCCAATATTCTGTTGCACCTTTAAATTATAAATATATAGTTTGTAATACCATATTTAGAAACTCTGACAATAGAATTTCTCTAGTAGAGAACCTAAGTAGCATTTTCTTGTCAGGGGTGGTGCCCTGTCGGGGAGAAAAAAAAATTATATGTATTTTCCATATATTAGTAGACTATAAAATCGATTAAAAAGCCTTTGAAACCTCTAAATTTTCATTTTTTGCGGGGGATTCGTACCCTGGACCACTTTCAAAAGATTCTGAATGATACCTGATCGGGGACATTGGGTCACGCATTGGAGACACTTAGTCTAAGCACTTCACGCTGGTCACTGGATCAAACACACATGGAATACATACTCAGCTCCCTGGGAATAATTCCATAATGTTGCAGTTAACTAGTGCAGTCAGGGTCAAACCTAACAGAGTACCCGCATGTACTCCTGGGATAACAGACAACCATAGGTAAAGTGCCTTACCCAAGGACACAATTAATGCAAATTAAGGAATTGAACTCTGACCTTGACATTCAGAAGATGAACCTCACCCACTGCCAAAACACTTCTACCTCAAGCTTCACTCCAACATTCACCTGTTAAGCCTTATCCACACTATCACATTTAATTTGACAAAAATATGTGACATGCCTAAATATGGTCATGATGACATCACATGACGATATATAGGCACATCATGACTATATATGGGCACATCATGACTATATATGGGCACATCGTGACTATATATAGGCATGGTTTTCGATAGTGTGGACAGATCTTTAAAATAATGGAATTTGAAATAGAGAATAAAAATGTGTTTTACCCTTTGAATGTTGTACTTCACACTAAATTTCTCAATGAATGCATCTCCAGCAGTTAATGGAACATCACCAGTTAACATATTAAAGGTGGTCGTCTTGCCAGCACCATTAATTCCTAGGAGTCCAAAGCATTCCCCATGTGGAACCCCGAGGCACATGTTGTCAACGGCCACCACCACATCTTTCCCTCCTTTCTTTGGGTACACTTTTCGAAGCTCCTTAATGATCAGAGCATCGGTTTTGAACAGGTCATCTACGGTAGTGTACAGTATTCGATCTTGCTCTTTCAATACATCTTCGTCTTCCTACAAAATTATAAATACATAATTATTTAAACTATATCTTATGTGAACATGCAACCTGAGATCAAATGATCTCACAGGTTAAGCTGGATGGCTGAAATTGATATAGTATAGTAAAATGTTCTGTGTTACCAAGGTCACAGTAATAGGGCAATTTTCATAGCATTAATATTTGCCTAATTCAAACTGGTAATAACTAGTATTCAAAGAAATGGGTGTCTTAAGGAGCAGGATATCTTAATATCTTTGATAAAATATTATTTTGTTGGTGAAATAATGATGAGCAAGACAATGGCGAGTCAATGGCCAAGAAGCTAAGGTAGGGATGGCACAACCTACTGCCATAATATCAGCGCTGGTTGGACAAAAAAAATTAAGGAGCATTTATTTGAGTATATACATTTTCATTTTATAGCAAAAAAATTTAAACGCATTGTTCAAATAAACTAAACACCTCGTTCGTAAAAACGCTTCCCTCAGGTAAACGCCAAGCAAAAACATTCTCAACAATTATTGTTGAGAATGTTTTTACGCCCTGGGGCATCTATTTGAATAAATATGATAATTTAAATATGGTAAAATAAATGAATTATAAATCAATCTTAAAATTATTAATTAAAAATGAAAATTCTATGTTTTAGATTAAGCTTTTTATCATATTTGTAAATAAGTCTCTTTTCAATTTTATTAATTTAAACTTGTTATTTTATGTACTGCAATTTTGTACCACAAAATAGGACCATGTATAAAAAAGGTTGTTACACGCTCCGGATATGTTCAATAAATAAATAAATATAAAATACATTAACAAAACATTACACTACCTCTACCATTGGTTCTGGTTCAGTGGGTGCTTGAATTTTCGGATTGCAGCATTTGCCAAAGATCATGTACCTTAACGACCTAAAAGCACCAAATTCTATAAGTAACACCCAGGCAAAGTATATAACACCGGCGATAGCTAAAAATACCAGGTCACGACCAATACCAGGAGTCTCCCAATCTAGGTAATTGTCAACATATCTAATGCTTGCTGAAAATGTAAATGAAGAAAAATGTAAATACATTTTTTAATTGAATTATGAATTAGTGCATATCAAGAGGGCAGTATGCATTTTAAGTGATGAACAAGAGAATATTATTAAACTTTTCAAATTAAATTTATATTCTTATTTACAGTACTGTACAGTAGGCCTGAGCAAATGCAGAACAGCATCTTGACGAGGGCGCTCAGCTATTTTTGTGTGCGTTCAACTATTTTTATTTTTCATTGTTTTTAATACGACTTATATTGATAAAACTGGTCATGTTGAGCCAAGCACTAACTGCGCCCGAAGGTCGTTGGTCAATGCGTTTCTCTATGGAGAACGCAGCGCCACAACACGCATGCAATGGTTCGTTTCTAATGACGTTCCGTTCAGACTGCCACCAACAACCAGCAGACGTCGCATCATTTAACGCTTACAGAAAGTGGAGTTGGCTACACCGCCCAATGATGGTACGTCGTATGACGTAGTAAGTCCCAGGCTTTTAAATAATCTATTATATCAGGGGTTCTCAAATGGGAGGTCACGGGCAATCTCAGGCCCGCAAAATTTGACTTGGGCCTAGATTTTTAACTGTATTAATTCTGTATTCTTGTTATGTCGACTAGACCTATAAATTGCCCCACAAATTGTAGCGATTTTATCAATCAAATCTGAAAAGTTATTGCAGCAAACAGCAGAGAAAGGAAATCATAAACACGCCAAATTTTGGCCTATCGCAGTCACTTGCTTAATGTTTTAGGTCAAGATGCCCTGTATAAGTGTCTAGAAGCTTATTATTTTCTAAATATTTCTAATTGCAGAGGGGGACATCACTCTCCCAAGCATCTTTCCCTGCGTTTTTTAAATGGTACCATGTGCCGAAGTACACTTCCTGCCCTGGCCCTTCAAACTTATTCAACTAACAATTTTGGCCCTTATTCCGATATAGTTGAGAACCCCTGTATTATTTGGTAGAAAAATATTATTCTTACGGTTGTCTGAATATTTGCAGAAAAACTCAGCCTCAGGACTTGATTTGCAGATTTTCAAGAACTGATAGTTCATGTACATATCATTCATAGCCTTTGCGAGACAAAATGATGGAGAGAACAGGAAGATCCAGTGAAGCGTATTCGCAACTGTCATCAAATTCAATTCCGGAATTTCCAGAATCTCCACAGCAAGAAATGCGGTGGTACCTAGGAGAATGTTGAGGATTGTCATGCGGACAAACCCAACTGATGGCGTCTTAAACACAAACGAGAAGAGATACATCAGGGGTATGATACCCCAGCCGTAGAGGAAGAGGAGTAAGAGGACGTAGGCGATCCTGCCGTCTTCCGTATAGGCCTCAACGTCGAATGCGAAGAAAACTATCAAGATTAGTAAGCATGTTATCATGTAATTAATGAGATCCCAAAGAAAAGTTGAGAACCAAAAATTGGTGATATGCACGCCGCTTACAAACTGGATATGCTTTGCTTTCGTTGCACGCTCTTTAATTAGGAAAACAACAAACGTGCTTGCAAGTATCGACATTCCAAACACCATATCGAACGCAATCGCAAAACCTGTTGTGAATCCACCGTTTATTTCGTCGTCTGCTCTCTCAGACACTGAACGTGGCAATGGGTGGTTGATTGTCATCAAAGAATATGAACTGTTCAAAGATGCTTTAAGTAGGGCATTGCTGTACGCGTTAAGGGCAATAGCAGGCGTGTGCCATGGTTGATTGTTAAAGAATGCAATCCCGTTTAAACGATTATCATCTGTATTATTTTTGAACACAGCCGCTATCAAATATTCATTATTAAATGTTACCATGTTTTTATTGCTTTTACGAATGATCACGTCTTCCATATCACAGGTGTCATTCTCTTTGTTAAGATTCTCAGTCTTCGTGATAGTCCCATTAAACTGTTCGGCAAATGCTTTAGAATATTGGCTATACCGCTCTGAATGAACGTCATGGCAGTAAAGCACTTTGGTGGCACCGTAAGTTGCTGGCTTCAAGGTTAATGCTGGTAAATCGGAAGGCGGCGGAAATGAGTTGACTGCTAAAAGGGCAAACGCGGTGAAAACTAGCGGGATTAACAGCTGGGCCAACGTTACAAGCAGATTACGTCTTGTATGTATAATTCGTTTAACAAACATTCCATAAAACTGTTGGATATACAAGTAAATTCCTGAATTTCGAAAAGCATGCGTTACAAAACCTGCAGAAAAAAAAAGACAGAAAAATTTTATTATAGTAAAAACATGGAAATATTAGAATTTGCGGAATATGCATTATTTTCTGGGAGATTGTTGCTTGTTTGGCAGAGTGCGAGTGGCCGTCTCAATGTCTGGGAGACTCCCGCAACTTCTGAAAGACTTGGAGCCTCTGATTGAGTCCTAACTTGCCACCACTGTTTTAGAACTGGTGAGTGTAGTAATCTACAGCAACAATGCAAAAAATAGTTTCAAATGCATTGAAGTTTATATGACATTTGTATGCTACTTAGTTCCTACCAACTTCAGGATCAGATGTCGACAGTAGAGGGGTTGTCTCATCATGAGCGTGGGACTGTACATGTGACCTTTCAACAGACAAACTTTCCTCACTGCTGATTGAGGAGGCATTGCTACGGTAACCACTGCTGTCATCATTTTCAGTGAAGCGTGACTGGTTTCCAACTCTGGGAAATCAACAGACAAATAGAAATTTAATTTTCAACTTAAGCTAAATTGTACTAGAACTCAATACGTACAAGTCAGGTATTCTACAAAATTCGGGTTAGGCAACTGGTGACAGAGGTGGTGGGAACAGTTTGTATTCCCAACCTCAATGTCGGGGTCTAACACCCTCACTATGCATTTCGCTTATGTCAATTCAAGATTCAATTCAAGGTTTATTCCTAAAATGCATCGTAATTAAAAATTTAATTACAACAAATGGTTACAATTTACATATAAAAAAATGACAAATATAAAAAAATATTGAAAAATTTAGGAAAAAATGAAATTCAATAGTATCAAGAAAAAGAAAGTTGAAAATACAACGAATATACAGTATGTAGTAGAAAAACAATGTCAATTGTCCTTGAGCAAGGCACTTTATCTACATTGCCTTATCAATGGGTACCAGGAAAATGATTGGAAGTAGCCTGTGATGAATTAGCATCCCAAAATGCAATGGCCGTATTCGACTGGTCATTCTTCGTTAAACCACGAAACCATCAAAATTATATTAACGCAAATGTTGTTGCTAAACTAACCAATCAGCCAAATTTGTTTTGGTCACATGGATAACTTAACGTTGATTAATGCACTCTTGGTTTATGTTAATATCTGTTGTAAACGAAGTCTATTTACGAACCAGTCGAATGAAAATAATACTCAACAAAAAATCGCAGTCAACGAAATGAACCAGTCAAATAAGCCCAATGCCTGGGCGGATGGTTTACCAATTTACACGCACATTGCATCATAGGGCTGACAAAACCATCTCCACTGTCTGTGAGCACTGAATGATGCGACATCCTTTGCCGATTGTTAATGACAGACTGAGTCAATTGTCACTAAAAAAACTGCATTGCACAGAGACACCGGAAACGTGTCAGCTGACGACCGTTGGCGCAGTATGTGCATAGCTTTAAACATCTGGATTAAGATCTTAATATGACCTGGACTGAAAACTCACTCACTTTAGAAACACCTCTTCCATTGTGGTGACAGATACGCCGTAACTTCTGATTCCAAGCTCCTCCCGTCTTTTCTCCATTGTATTAAAGAGACCTTCAAAATGGGTTACTTGATCATTTGGAAGGATGAAAGTCAGTTCGTTTCCGATGTTATTCTCCAGCTCCGAGTCCTTAATAGAAGAATAGATCATGTTTTTGATCTCTGCGACATTGCAATTTTCCGCTTTTGAAATCGTCATATGATAGCCGACACCTGGAAAGAACCAGTAAATTATATTTATTGTTAATAATACCTTCATTTTATATTTATTCTCTTTGGAGTCATTTTGACCCAATATGGTATAACCAATTTAAGTTTCTGTATTTGAGCCAAACAGAGATTAGAGACTACATTATATATTCATTTTAATATAAACAGATGCATGAATGTGTCCTAATCAACAGTATGCTGTTTTTTATATGTTGTGTAAGACACAAAAAGCATATTTGATGAAAAAGTTGGGAACGGTTAATGAGATACAGATTTTTGAATATTTAAAAACTGAGGAAAAAAGGTAGAAAAAGGGTGATTCCATTCCTATTTCCCCCAAGTTTTGAAATATTCAAAAATCTCATTAACCATTTCCGAGTTTTTCGTCAATTATGCGTTTTGTGTATTAGAAAAACCAGTTGTACATCATATCTTTTTTTTTAATTTCCTCCGGAGTTTGGCTTTAAAAACTCTAATAAGTTAATACCATACCGTATCGATTTTTAAGGAACAAAGATGATCCACAACACTGCAGTTCCCCCTCAGCCATAATAGCAATGCGGTCCCCTAGAAGATCCGCTTCGTCCATATGATGAGTTGTTAAAAGGATTGTGCGGCCTGCACGGTGCTGTTGGAGAATGTCCCAAGTGAATCGACGTGCTGCCGGATCCATTCCAGAGGTTGGCTCATCTAGAATTATTATCTAAACAAGAATTTTACACCTGTTAAAATTACTGTCATGATCATTACCAATAATATCTTATGATAATGATCCGAATAATATTTTTCCACCTGTTTACCTTTGAGTCAGAAATGAGAGCTATTCCGACTGACAACTTGCGCTTCATGCCACCCGACAGCGCTTTAGACCGAACATGTCGTTTGTCTTCAAGTCTTAGAGATGAAATGTACTTGTCAACTTCAGCTTTGACAAGTCCTTTTGGACAATTCTTTAGCTGTAGATGAAAAATCAGGGTAAAAATTGTCATTTTTAATAGCAATAAATTATTAAAATCAAAGCATTTATGATTTTTAATTTGGTCAAGGAGTCTTCATTAATGCGACCGAAAATGGCTTAGTGACGAAGACAAGCAAAAAAAGTCATTCCATGCAAATTGTTTTGTCCAAAACATATTAAAATGTCAAACTTTTTGAAATCTATTTTATTGCACTAAACTACACTTTCTATATCTATACATAATGCTATGCTGTCATTTTCTCCATTTTTTATGTTAAAACAATTTTTTTTACCGATATGGTGATGGTGTCTGCCTGAGAAATGGAGGAAACTGTAAACTTTGAAGGCCTATTTCACAATACTATTCTTAAACAACTGTATGTTTAAATGCCTTTAACTTCACAACAGAATGCTGGATTTAAATGATTCTTTTACCATTTTATAACTTTTATTTTACTGCTTAACAATGTATTAATAACGAAAAATTAATTTTTTTTGCGATAAGTGACTGGTTTGGCTTGGCTTTACCACATATATAAAAAGAGTTTAACAAACCTTTGCAAAAAAATATAGATGTTCTTCCACAGTCAGATCATCAAATAGAACATCGTGCTGTGGACAAAGTCCAAGGCTGGAACGTACACCATCAATATCCTCGCATATGTCATAACCATTAACGACAGCTGTGCCATCAGATGGTGGGAATAAGCCGGTCAGCATTGACATGGTCGTTGTTTTTCCCGCTCCATTATGACCGAGAAGTGCGGTTATCTGACCCTCAAAAACATTAAGTGATATCGCATTGACAGCCACTTTCTTGCCTTTAAATACCTAAGGAAGTTAAAACAGGCATGGCGGTAGAATATTTAGACACAAGGTTTTAAAAACAGGGTGAATATGAGGAATTAGAGTTATTCTTTCTATACCTGATGGGTTTTTTTTAGCTTCAAGCAAAGTGGATTGAAAAGTAAGAGAGCACAGTATGTTTGTATTCCATGAAACACCTCCACAATAATGGAGGCTCTTCTTTCTATATTCAGTATGTGGATGATCAACTTTCAAAAAATCTTTTGACCTGGTGGTGTAATTTTGATTTTTAAGTGAGGAGCGCTCAGTCAGACATGATGTTTTTTTTCATACTTTCGATTTCCTTCACATCGAAAACAGCAAGTACACTCGCCACTTACAGGATGGAATGATGCTTTATAAACCAACTCTCTGTAGGAGGCTTAGGTAGTGGAGTTGTTTTTGGTCGTGATGGACATTTTTTTTTAGGAATTTGATTGGATCTACCACACACCACATTACAATAATCAAAATGTTATATATTTTTTTTTTAAAAAAGCTTGTATAAACAGATGATACGCTCTTGTACACAGTTATGGACAGCTTCTGACTTTGATATATGGAAACAAAACTACTTAAACCAAAAGCGTGGCTTGTTGACAAAGTCAATGTAAATTGTTCTATAAAATCCGTGTTTCGATTATTTCACAGTTCATTTACAGTTTCAGTTTCTACTGGCACTTAGAACTGATATTCCAACAATAGCAAACATTATTCAGTTATGTGCCATAATACATATACAATTACAGTGTAACAAAGTACAATTAGTACGAAAAATGGTAAAGTTAAAAATAAACATTCTAAGAAAACTAAGTACATGCATGACTTTAAAATGGCTGCTAATATATTTTAAAGCGACAATTTAAATTAAATGTCATAACTGAATTAATACTTACCTTATATTACCAATGCTTACATTATATTACTACTGCTTACCTTCTTCAGTTTCTTGATCTGGATTCCTGCAACCGAATCCACTGGATCCTTCTCAAAATATTCAGAGTCTCTGGTGTTTTCATAGTCTTCTTGCTGTGGCTTATTGGTCACTTGTGTTCCAAACCAGTAGGATTTCTACAGAAAACAATTGAACTAAATATTAGACAAGGCTGGATACAGTGGAGGTTACTGATTTTTTTTACAACGGGGGTGGTTAGCTACTGTGTAGGCTGCAAGAGAAGATTTTTCTAATGTGTTCCTTTAAACTAAATGTTAAAACCTTATTTATCCTAAAATTAAAACAAAATTTTGTTCACTACGTGCCATAAATGGGAAATACCACTTCTTTGGAATACCAAATTCTCCTGGAAATACGGCCTCGATGTACCATGTGATAACACCATAAAGAACAGCATCCACAAGAAGCATTACTATTACATCGAGGAAAGTAAAGTTGTCGTCGGTTGAGATTGGTCTGGCGATGTTGCTCCACTGTACTCCTTCACCTAAATCAGGGATAGGCATAAAAATTGTTCAGATGGTCAAATTTTTGAATGAACACTAGCAGCCACTTATTGTGGAATTTTATATTTTCAAGTGCATTTTTCAATTTTTAAAATAAAATTACATTGTATTATACTGTAATTGTATTATTCTTTTTTGGTAAGTATTTTTACTGACGATCAGCGGCGATCGTAAATTATTATCTTGTACTGTATTATATTATACTGTATTGTACTTATTTTATGTTATCCATTATCAACCGAGTCTGCAACGCAAACCACATCCCAAATACAATAAAAGGATTTAACAAGATATATACTGTATCATATCACATCATATATATTGTATGATCATAAATATTAACTATAATACTGTAATTGCAACTCTTTCACTGGTTCTAATGTGAAAATGTGTGAATATTCAGCTTATTGTTTTTACATTAAGTTTCTTTAGTAAATTATCTACACTGACTTACCTGTTCCCTCAAATAAGCCAATAATGAAGGCACCAAAAGCCATGGCAGTATTGGAAAGGAGGCAAGCACCAAACTTAGACGCTCTACTCAGACTACTGTAGCGGTTGATCAGAAACATGTACGGTATGTAAGTGAAGAACCAAACAACTCCTGCCACCACTGCAGCTGTGTTGGCTACAAGAAGGAAACACAGATGTAATTAGATAAAAGTCTGGTTATTTAAACTGTCTCTGTAAACATTCCAAAAAACACAAAACATTCATTTTAAACCATTGTATGGCCTATTTAGTATGATCAAATAATTTGTTTTCATCTATTTTTTATATCTATTTTTTTAGAAATCTTAAAAAAGGGGAGCTACAAACAAGAAAAATTATGAATATTTATGCTAATTGCCAAGAAAAATATTTTCAAATAATAAATAAAGAATATATCTAATAGTAAAATTAAATTTACAGCTACTATTGATGTTAAATAGCAGTCTATTTTAAACAGTTTGTATTTTAAACAATTTATATATAGCTTTTAATACTTTTTATATTTCTGAATGTTTTAATAATGTAAATTTGCAGCAATTCATTTTATTCTGCAATGCCATTTTATTTTTGAATAAACCAGAATTGAATTGAAAAAAAAATAATGTATACAGGTAAAATATACATTTCTTTTCTAACGTCTCTATATTCTGTCTATTCTTTCCTTCAATTTTGTTACCTTTTCATTTCTTCCTTTTCTGTTCGTTGTTTATTCTATTCTTTCCATTTCTTTTGGATGGATATTTTACACTATGTAACATTCATATTTAATGACTAAAAATCTACATAATTACCTTTTGAGAAAAAAACACTGACTGTGAAGCTGAGACTAATGGTGGCCAAGGCGAAAGCAAGGAAGAAGACAAAGATCACCGTTGGGTCACTGTTGCTGATGACCGATCCCTTGTCCCCGACTTTGACCCAGAACAGGATTGTCATGAAGAATGTGCTGATAGCCAAGAACAGAAAACATTTGGTCAACCATGCCGACCAATGCAACCAATTGTTCAAGCCCATCATTTTCATGGATTCCTAAAATAAAAACAGAATTTGATGATTCTAATGCACTCTTGCCTTGCAATGTCCAGAGAGATTTTTGTTCAACTGGTTTTCTTTGGCCAATAGACACATTCCGCAAGGATTGTTGACAGCGGGTCACGTGACATGTAGTAGGTATTACTATGGAGAATTTCCACTTCGATCAGTGTTAAAGAGGAAAAGGTAATGTTATGAACTTATGGTTGCGAAAACAACACCCCCCCCCCCACAATTAACGCGAAAAATAACTGGCAAAGAAAGGTACTACGATTTTTCAAAATAGTATTTATTTACTCTTCTTCTATTTATTCTAGCATTCAATGTGCTTTTGAATTTATATGTGACCCTTTGTAAACCTTAGCTAGTGTGCACACCCTCACCCCCCCTCAAAAAAAGTTTGACACCCTTCCCCCTATTGAAAATCATGCTCAAATAGTTAAAAATCACCTACCACCTTATTTTGTGATTGTGTTCCCCCTCATTTAATCACTGTGTCCCCCCCTCTCTACTTCCATTCTCCCTGCCATCACCCTCATTTCAAGACTCTTAAGCCGGACACTCCCTGCGTCGTACGCCGGTCATACAACTGTCGCACAATGAATCCACATTTGCTTCTGGCGAGGATAGACGACGCAACGCTGTCTGCTGATTGTCAGTGGCAATCTTAACGGATCCTCATTAAAAAGACAAGCTGTTGGGTCCGCATCTTCGTCGCGTTGCCGTCGCACGCAGTGAGTAACCGGATTTAGGTACACTACTGTAAAACACATGTAATACATTTCCAACCTTACTGTAAATTTGACCTCACATCTTGGTGGTCTGAGCGAACCCTGTTGGACATGAACTCGCATCTATGGCAGCGATTGTGTTACATATTATTTTACTATATAATATCACCAGCTTACCTTAAGTTTTTTCTCTTTCTCTTGGACAATACTTCTGGTGATGTCTAAGGCGTTTAAGATGTAGCTGATGAGAAGAAGCACCGGTAGTTGAGACTGAATAACAAGGATGAAAAGATCATCATTGTACGGTGGATATGGGAATCGTTGCATATTAACCGAGATGTTGTTGGTTACTACGCTGCTTACTTTCAGAATCGACTTATCAATTGCATTTTGAAGTGATAGGAATCCTTCTCGCCAGTAACCTGTAAATGTGAAAAAACACATAATACCTTACTTTGAAGTGAGGTAAGGGAGACTTTGTTTATACCTTGTTTCCCAAACAAGAATTTAAGAGGGCAGAAAAAAAAATGAAAATAAAATTTTATTTTTTTTATTTAGCAAATAGTTTTGCAAAAACATCCAGAGGGAAGAGAAAATAAAAATAAAATTTCACTGGTGAATGTAAACAATGTAGTAATATGGTTAAATGCTATAAATTCATATTTAATTAGAAAGAAATAATACAGTATCTTATTTTTGGAGATTTCAAGGCAGCGACAGGCATAATAAAAATTTTAAAATCCTTAATTTTTTTTCTGAAATTTCCATTTCTTCGTACACTAAGATGTCCAATTTAAAATAATAATGTCACTAGCACATACAAACAAACCAATGCATTATGATTAACATGCAGAAAATAATATTACGTGAAATAAGTAAATAGATGGTGCTGTTTTACCTGGTTCCCCTCCATGTTTATCATCAGGTTCTCTTGGTCCTGGCACTTGAACGAGTGGATACAACATATTCGTCTTCCACCTACTTATATTACTGTTACCGCTCGTTTCATCCGAAATAGGAACGTTTACTTGGCTGGCTTTCAACCGTATACTGTACGTGATGTTCTTTGGAAGTACGTTTTTGTTATCAAAATTGTCAACAAATACGATTCCACCCAAAAAAGTGGCATTTACTTCCATACTTTTGTTAGCAGCATATTGAAGGAGCTCCTCTTCATTTTCGAAACCAGTAGCTTAAGAAAAACAAACAAAATATATTGATTGTATCTTTACCCACAAATCTACTAACTCCACAGAAACCTTGGTTTTCTATACAAGCTTGAGTAGTATCACTAAACAATGAATTGCACAGATGAAGACCCACTGATAGTAGAATGAAACGTAGCAGTACATATATTTTTACCTGGTTTAAATTAAGAATTCTACAATTAACTACTGTATGGCCTTATGTGTCAAATGGCATGAAGAGGACAGGTGAGGAGAATTAACTACTGTATGCTGTATATTAATCATTGCAAACCAAATAAAAAGCTAAGTTTGGCAGTTCCACCAAAATATTTTTGAGCTTTTTTTGAGTTTCAGTTTAATAATACAGTATTACAAAGATAATTTGTAATCACAAAATTTCAGAGAATCAGGTTCAGATTTTGACGAGAAACCAAGCCTTAAACTTAAGGTACGTGGTAAAACTACCTTTTGTAGGAAATTATCCCTGTGTTTGGGGCCACAGATCAGATTGTCATGAGGGGGCATGGAGAGAGGTGTGCAAAACTAGACCAAAAAAAAAAAAAAAAGTTGGTTGGATTGCAGCTTTGATTTTTCATCACTATGGTAATTTTAATACCCAGTTGAGGAGTGGGGTGCATAAGAGCTCATACCACCCCCTTGACACAGACCTGGTATTTATGAGTCAAGGTTTTAAGAGTTTAGGTTTAATGTGCCATAACATTTAAGATTAAAAACTTGTTTACCATTATCAATTGATACAAATGATCCTTCTAAGCTTTTCATAACGTCCCTCATTAATTCTTTAAGTACTGGATTGTTGGGCGAGTATGCTATTTCCCATTGATGTTCATATGGTGTTGGTTTCAGATTAGATGGCAAGTGTCGAATGAATAAAAAAAAAAATCAATCTACAGGTAACAGTAATAAATCTGTCTCTTATACACATCTAGATGTGTATAAGAGACAGGAAGAGGACAGGTGAGGAGAATTAACTACTGTATGCTGTATATTAATCATTGCAAACCAAATAAAAAGCTAAGTTTGGCAGTTCCACCAAAATATTTTTGAGCTTTTTTTGAGTTTCAGTTTAATAATACAGTATTACAAAGATAATTTGTAATCACAAAATTTCAGAGAATCAGGTTCAGATTTTGACGAGAAACCAAGCCTTAAACTTAAGGTACGTGGTAAAACTACCTTTTGTAGGAAATTATCCCTGTGTTTGGGGCCACAGATCAGATTGTCATGAGGGGGCATGGAGAGAGGTGTGCAAAACTAGACCAAAAAAAAAAAAAAAAGTTGGTTGGATTGCAGCTTTGATTTTTCATCACTATGGTAATTTTAATACCCAGGTGAGGAGTGGGGTGCATATGAGCCCATCACACCCCCTTGACACAGACCTGGTATTTATGAGTCAAGGTTTTGAGAGTTTAGGTTTAATGTGCCATAACATTTAAGATTAAAAACTTGTTTACCATTATCAATTGATACAAATGATCCTTCTAAGCTTTTCATAACGTCCCTCATTAATTCTTTAAGTACTGGATTGTTGGGCGAGTATGCTATTTCCCATTGATGTTCATATGGTGTTGGTTTCAGATTAGATGGCAAGTGTCGAATGGAGAAATCCTGGTATTCTGTTGCATTTGGATGAACAGTGTAGGCTACTTTTGTGCGAATGGCGATCAAGATGACAGCAAAGACAACCGGCATAGCAATTTCAATAACAGTCCATATCATCCTACGTTTCTGAAGAACGTAATTCTTCCAAAGGAGGAGCGTAAATTGGTTTGCACGTCGACCCATCGTTACCGGTTAAATATACATATATCTCTATAACTGGAAGAAAAGAGTAAGAATGCTGGAAATATATTTTTTCGCAATTGGCTTTTTAAGATAAAAATTGATAAAAAGAAAAAAAAATAATACAAAGAATTAATTAAATTGCCTGCACTAAAAAAAAAAAAAGAAAGAAAAATTAATCAACAGTAAAATAAAGTTGAGGAATATATTCCAGGTCAGACAAAAGCATTAAAGGATTGTCCAGATTATCAAATTTTATTTGACAAAAAACTGTTGTATTCAATTATTTAGTCACGATGTGCCTATATATGGTCATGATGTGATGTTATCATGACCATATTTAGGCATGTCACATGTTTTTGTCAAATAAATTTTGATAATCTGGACAGCGCTTTAGGCTTTGCCAACACTATCAAATTTTATGTGTGATGTGCCCATATATGGGCATGATGATGTCACATTACAACTAAATATATGGATATACGTCTCTCTCTAATTAAAGACCACTTTTGGGACCGGGGTTTCCATGGTCTTTAGCAGCTTTGGTCTCCAAATAGAATAATAACGATAAGACATTTGTTAATTAGGGACCACAGAAAAGCGGTCTTTAATTGGAGGTGGTCTTTAATTGGAGGGAGACCTGTGTCTCATTTATTTTTACAAAATTGAACAACACTGAAACATACTTGGTGCCCCCTGTCAAACAGGGAAAAAGAAATCAAGGGAAAAAAAAAAAAACAGAAACAAAAATTTAACAACTGGAAATTGAATTTGACCATGATGAAATTTGCCAATCTCTTGAGAATGATGCAATGTTGCTGTGTATCGATTTATTCAAAAGATAAAAACAGGCTCCCAGCAGGAGAGTGTGTCTACACAAGGAGTTATAATTTGTGGCAAAGACAAGCCAAACTAGTCACTCATCGCAAAAATCAATTTTCAGCTTTTAATACAGGGTTAAATAGTAAAATGAGAGTATAAAATGGTAAAAAATCATTTAAATCTGGCATTTTGTTAAGAAGTTACAGGAGTCTAAACATACAGATGTTTAAAGAACAATATTTCAGAAATTAGCCTTCAAAGGATTTTGGGCATTTCTAAATCATCACCAAATCATTAAAAATTGTTGTTTTAATATTGAAAATTGGGAAACAGCATAGCATGTTGTATATAGTATATAAAGGTTAGTTTAAACAGATTTCCAAAAGTTTGACATTCCGGCTTGTTTTGGCCATTATCTCTGAAAGAGGATTTGCGACGAGTGACTGGTTTTGCTTGTCTTCGCCACATTTTTATAAATCCATGAAGAAACTTAAGACTAATATGCAAGTATTTTTAAAAGGTACCAAATTATTTTTTTAATGGTTTCAATTTCCCTTTCATTTATTAGATAGCCAACATTTTTTTTGTAAACATCCTGTAATAAACACACTAATCTAAGTCCGGTCTTGGACTATCAAATCATGTGAAAAAAACAAATATGGTGGCATAACATCATCATGATGACCATATAGGCACATCATGGCCATATGTGGCAAAGATAAGCCAAACCAATCACTCGTCACAAAAATCAATCTTGAGATATTAATACAGGGTTAAGGAGTAAAATAAGAGCTATAAAATGGTAAAACAATCATTAAAATCCGACATTTCCTTATGAAGTTACAAGCGTTTAAACATACAGTACAGCTGTTAAAGAACAATATATGAGAAATCAGCCTGCAAAGTTTATGATTTCGGGCATTTCTCAATGGGGAAAATAACAGCATACTGTAGCATGATGTACAGATATATAAAGTTTAGTTTAGTGCAATAAAATAGAATTTTAAAAATTTGACATTCCTACATGTTTTGGCTATTCTCTCTGAATCACGATTTGAGACAAGTGACTCGCTTGGTCTTTGCCACATATATATGCACATCATGACCATAGGCACATCTTGACTACATGGGCACACACCAGTTTTAAATATGGACCAAGCAATAATCTTTCTGATTGATTCCGCTTCAAATCCGACATATTAATGAGTCACCTAACTGTTGTGGTCTTTATCCCATGTGCTGCACATGATATAAGTACAATAATAAAGCCATTCATTATTGAGCCCCTGAGGGTCTATCAGGGGGTCCATTAAATTCCAACGCAAGACAGATTTGAACCAGGGTCTTCACCACAAGAAGCTGGAACATTACCTGTCGGTCAAGTGCTAAGCTTACTGTAGAATTATGAGTGTTTTTAATTAATATTGGAAATGTTTAAATGTCAACATTATAACAACTTATAATTCAATCATTGAAATATATTAGTTTTTATATGATAATAATACAAATTATATGATTAATAAAATCCACACTATAATTTGTATATTGTATAATACAAATTATTAACATGAGGCTTGCCATTTCAAACACAGCCGACTGTCACTAATTGTTAAACCGAGTAATTAGCATAATGACCAATTATTTTTTAAGCTTATAATGTGGAAAATACAAAAACACAAAATTGACATTTTTTCTACTGGAGTGCCAAGCTTCCCCAAAATCTGAAGTGTTGCTGCATCTACCTCTAATCATAGTGGGGAAAGGTGTTTGTGAACTCAAGTACCTGTTTAAGAAAAAAAGATCCCTCCTAACATTTACAAAATCCTGCCTACGGGTATGGGGCTTGACATTCAGTATTTTGAAACAAGAGCAACAAACACAATTTACTATTGTGTACTGGTAATTACAAAATAAAATGTCTTTACGTACAACAAGTGGTTGTTTGACGCTCTTTCAAACTCATGTACATCTACAGTACAGTATGCTCTACTTTTACGTTCATTGGCAGAAACCAAACGTTTTGATGTGTTGCCAAAGAATGAGCGTATGTACATGTGCAGTGCGGCGAGAAAGGGTCCATAAAAAAGAATGTATAAAATACAAAAAAAAAAATAAATTTAAGAAGTGCAAGTAAAATTAAAAAAACTTTGGATGATGCAATAGCCGCCTTAAAAAAATGCCTCTGAAGTTAGAGAAAGATACATTTTCTGGAAGGTTATTCCACCAGTTGAGGGTTTTTGTAGAAAAAAAAGATGTCCTGTAGACAAGTATACGAGTCAAAATTATTTGTTATCTGTTTGGGTCAAAGATCTTGTGTTGCTCATGAGCGTAAAAGAAATGCTTTTGCAATCTAATTATTATCAGCTCTAGTGTCTCTCACAGAAGTCAGAACCTTACATCTGGCACAGATTTTTTATTCCCAGACGTTTTTCCATTTCACCACTAGTTCCATTTAAATTTGTTAACATTTTTTCTCTATCTTTAGTTATAGTTTCAATAAAATGACTGAAATTTATATTAATGATATGATATGCAGTTGTTTACAAATCAATAATTTAAACTAAGAGCTGCTCGTGCACAAAAGTACCGACAATTGTCATTACAGAAACGGCAAAAAACTATGTTCCAGCTAAAATATTACTTACCTTAAAATGTCTATTGTTCATTCGTATTAAATACGTAGGCTTCTAAGCCAGTTCTAGGCCTAAAATAAGGTAATAAGAGACGGGTCAAACCGAATCGTCGGCCTACTGACTGTGCAGGAGCGGTACAATGTCGATACACAACATCTGACAGCTCTCTGCCTTAATTAATGAACTAACAACATCAGTTGTTTTGAATTACAACATAATTTATGAATGTTTTATGACACAAATTAACAAAAATGTGTTAAAGGAGTACTTACAAGTAATTAAATATGATAAATTGAAGCTTTTGATACAGTACTATGGCCCAAACAGGATCATAAGCCCATGTTTCCTTTGTTGTCGCAAGCTCACCGGCGTTTACTTTTCATATGTTATAACATGGAGGTATTATAGAGAACATGTTATAATAATCCAAAGAGTAGAAAATAAAAATCCCAGCCATCCAGCTGATAAAGGGTCATGTGAGAACTCGCATGTGATACGTATGGAACGCCAAATCCGCCAAAATACGTTCCCAAAGCCAGAGTACAATACAGCAAGAGAGAAGAGTACATTACAGAACAAAGCACACACGAAGATAAAAATATATTATACAATACGACAAATTTGGTTATCTGTGATGAAACACAGTCATTTCTTGGAAGATTACCTCTAAACATTTTCAAAATCAATCTTATATATTAAAGTCAGGCTCTGGAGGTAAAAAAATTTTTGATATGTTGTAGAACTGATTTTTCTAAGACAGAAAAAAATAGTTTGACGAAAAACTGGGGGTGTAACTGCCCATTTTTACACCTTATTCCCCCAGTTTTTAAATATTAAAAAATTTGTATCTCATTCACTGTTCCCCAATTTTTCGTCAAACAACTTTTTTCTGTCTTGGAAAAATCAGTTCTACAACATATCAAAAAATTGTTTTCCTCCGGAGCCTGACTTAAAGTAAAGGATTGTCAATAAAGTTAAAATGTACAATACAAAACAAGCTCATGGTGGATTAAAAATACATAGGCACGAAAAGTTACGAACATTGATAATAAATCCACATAATATAGTAGTGTATATTCATTAAAATATGTACTTCTCCCTCCATATAAAGACCCCTCTAATTAAAGAAAACATTTCTGCGGCCTCCGTTGGATAGCTCTCTTTTATCACCAGATGTTGCCTCCAATTAAATATTTCCTCTATTTATAGAGACCATGGTTTTGGTAGATCCAACTGAAAATTTCCCCTCCAAGTAAAGACCAATATAAAATAAACAGTGATCTTAATGCATTTTTTTCTACAGTAAATTGTGTTATATATGACTTAGACGTAGAAATATTAGCCAATGCACTGTTTTGTGTTCAGCGTTTTGTATATCGAATGACGATAATGTTAGAAGCAATGTTAGTAATATTTTTATGGAAAGACAAGTTGATGTCTGGCTACCAAGAAATGTTTAATTAAGAATAAGAGTATGCAGTTACTTTACAAACATTTTAAAACATTTGATGTATTATTTTTTAATTTCCATCTAAATAGATAAATCTAAAGACCACATTTAGTACCGTACCCATGAGTTCCAAGTCTCCCGTAGAGTCCCGTAATGGAGTCCCCTGGAAACTGGCAGGAAGAACTCCAGCATTGGCTCGCGACCAAGCACGAACTTCCGCAAATAAACCATCTCCGCAAATTCATGATTATATTTGCATGCTTTATCAATTTTTCATACTGTAATATCAATCGTCTGCGCAGAAGTCAATGCCATTCATTATTTATTGGTTATCACCATGCACAGCAAAATTTAAATGTCATAAGAAAACTCATTTAAACAAATCTCCCGGATGTGGATTCTTCCAAATTTGGACCCCTGTTGAGTGCTGGTCTTTAATTATAGGGATTCTATTGGACACCAAAAGACCATGTTTTTGGCAGACCAAACTGAACATAATTACGGTACTACTTTAAAATGTATAGTGGTTTTAGTCTTTTTACACACTACAGACATCAAAATACATCAATAGCCGACGTTCTGTGTACAGTGCTCCTTATTGAATGCCATTAGTATGACATTGAATAGAAATTGTATTTTTCTCATTAAATGGAGCGCAAGTTTCGTGTGTGGCATGCAGTAATTCATCCTAAAACACTTGGAAGAAAAAATTTAACCGTAATGTATATTATCATGGTTTTGGCAGACCCAACTAAAAAATATTTCCTTCATTCAATAAATACATTAATTCTGATATAGAAAAATATAGGTATATAGCGATTTTAATGCATTAAAAAAATTATGATGATAATGATAGATATGCTTAAGATGATGTTTTGTGTATCAGTGCTCAATATTGAATGGACTAGGCTGTTAGTAATATTGTAATGGTTAGGTGGGACACAGGACTTGATGTGTGACTTGACTACCGGGAAAATGTTTAAGCTTTAATAATAATAATAGCATACAGTAACTGTGGCCCTACTAACAACCTTACCTTTACTATTTCTTTTCTTAATTTCCCTCTAAATATAGATATTTAAAGGTATACTTTTAAAGCCGGTCTTTTATAATAGGAATTCAAATTAGAGACCAAAGCTGCTAAAGACCACTAAAACCCTGGTTCCAAAAGGAATTTTTAATTGGTGGTATGGAGGGAGACCTGTAATAGGATTGAGAAAAAGTGGTCCGGCCAAAACCGTGCGGCCGCGGTGCAGTTCCGACGGCCTTGATTAATTGTGTGCTTATGTACTAACCTCATAAATGATGTAGACCTATACTGTGTCCTTTTATCTGTGTACATAATTTTTTTACTAAATAGGGCCTAAACTTAATATAGGCCTATTAATCAACCAATATTACACGGTAATTCCTGTGCATTTTGCCTATAACATCTATTCGTTTAAATAAATCCAAATTTGATTATAATTTTCTTCACAATTGCAATACATTCGGAGTTTTTCCTAAGTTTATTTGCTATAATACTGTACATCGCAAATCTTTTGCCTACAGTGGAGTGTGCCTTCAGGAGGGTGTAGGAGGACCGGTTCGGCCGCGAACTAGTTCGGCGATGATGTATTCGTATGTAACGCCATATAGTACTTAGTAAGGTGTCCAGTGAGAATTTCAAATTTGATTCGCTTACTAATTTCTTTACAGGTGGATATTATTTTCTTTTAATATAAGATAAAAACAAAAAATTACGATTGTGTTATGTTTACAGTACTTAAAGAAAAGATGGCAAAGCTCAGAGCCATAGATTATATGGCTCTGGCAAAGCTGAACAAATAACGTCCCTCTATCGCCGGATGCACATAATGTAATTTTGTCGCTAATTACTTTTACAATTAATGACATCAGAATACAAATAACTATATTGATTTATTTTTTTATTTATATTTTTTTTATTTGTTCTTCTTTATTGTATCAAACAAATGAATACGAAAGGTAACCAAGGTATATGTAGAGCTAATCAAGCTTGGCACCTCACCCTCTGAGGACAAAATGCCACTTCGTCAAAATAATGAAACATGCAATGGATGTAGGTGTGGTTGTAATTGAGTTCTTCTGCAAGTTGGTTCCTGCTTTCAAGGGAGCCAGGATTTGTGACAATACGTTTGATGTTTGGTAGAATATAATGTGTTATGGGTTCTTGTGTCCAGATATAATGTAAATCTTGGGTTTTCAGACGTATATGGTTGATGTTACTTATCATGTTGGAAAAAAATTGTCAGTTGCTCTAATATAGTGATTAAAACATCACCGCATAAACGGTGTTATTTTCACCATGGATCTTTCGAAAGTATACTAGGGCTATACAATAATTGTGCATCCAGAATTAACTGAACCAAATTCTACACAAAACACTAGAAAAAAAAGCACTTATGTATATATATATTTTGTTTTATTTCCTGTGAATATAACATTCGAATAATCATTATTGTAGACAACACATTGCTGTTATATATTTCCTCCATGGTTAATGTAACTACGAGAGTTCCATTATTGTAGATTTCTAAACACTGGAAAAAAACGTATATAAAACTTTTGAGTGCATTGTCCGCTTCAAATTAAATATTAATAACCTTTTTCGGCCGTTATTCAAAGGTAACTGTCATCAAGATACACTTGTCGTTTTAATGTGTTTTATCGTAAGAATCCTTCCCTTTGTACCCGCCTACGTAACCCTCTGCTGCCTTGTCGTCACGGTCTACACGACCCTCTAGTCCCTTCCCTTTGCCCGACTCGTCGAAGCGCTCCTTGTGCGATCCGGTGTATTTTGAGGTGTCGGTGAGACGGTCAACTCCGCCCACTTTCGCCGTCTTTGTTGCTCCCTACATGACAAAAAAGAAAAAAGGGAAAGCTCGTAAACAAAACGGCGTTGGCTAATTTCACTTAGGCCTATATAAATATGTTCATATATGTAATAGGGGATTTGAAAATTATTAAGGTAATGCGAATGATAATGCATCATGCAAAATAAGTGGATTGTGCTGCCAAGAAGCGGTACAAGTACTCTGGAGAATAAATTCTTTATTAATTTATCCTGCAGTTTACCTATGGAAAAAAAAGAATGCTTTTTGCTTTTTATCAAGGCGGCTGATATTTTTGACTGGTCCAGAAATGGCCGGAGTGTTTAAAGGCGAACAATGACAAGTAAATCTATCGAAAATTCCATGTTGATTTTTCACCATCACTATACCGTACCTGCTTTAATTTTTGATATTAAAAAAAAATGTATTTATTTTACATTTTTATTTACATGTGTCGTATTACCACCTAATTTACGTTTAACTAGAACACAAGACTTTTTATTACCACAGCGGCCGGTCCTTTTCCACTGCAAATTTTTTCAATAAGTTTCCCCACGTCATCCTTGCTTCCGTACTTCTTTTCAGCACACAGTGCCAACGCTTTCTTGAACTGGCTAAAGTTTATCTTCCGCTCGGTCTTAGATTTCACTTCCGGTCTGACAAAATATAGAGTAGGGAAAATCATATGGTAAGTATTCCTTTTAAAGTTTTTATCACTTACATTTAAGAATACAATGTACGGAGTTACATAAAAGATTACAAACTATTCTACAGGGGGATCGCCATCCGAGGGCCTTCTGACCACTCCCTAATGAGATTTTTTTTTTAAATAGGGACCTCTGGATGCCCGGAAATGGCACTCTTAGACTTGAAAAATACTTTTAAGTATAAACTTGATAAAATACAATTGTGTATATCTTAAACTCAACACAATAAACACGCATTTCATTTCATTAGGCCTATTTATTTTGTTCCGAATGCCCGACGAGCTCTGGTCGGTGGGGGAAGTATTAAAATTGCTGCTTCCCCCTCCCTCCACCCCCACCGCTGGCGCCGGCACTGCCTATGCTGTTTAGCAATTAGCATGATAGGCCTATACTCTGTATATGACTAATTAGCTCATTCGGAGCTGATATGTTAATATATCAACGCACGCTATCTAACGACGATGTCTCGAAGATGATGCCATTTCGGAGCAGTAAGGCTTGGTGACCCACACTCAACTCTGAGATAATTTCAATCGCAAAGAGCAGACAATCATGCGCATACTCCTGAATGCAGTTAGTCGGGGTGGATGTGGGTGTGCGCTCACGGCTTTGAAGTAGGTAAAGTAAAGTATTTCCATCAAAGGCAATGTTTTTTAAATTTTATTTTCTATGGTACATCACACACTCTATTAGTTGGCACTTCATTTTGACTACAATGGGGTGACGTGACGATGACGAATTTTACTACATGAGTGTCATTTCCGGACTTCTAGAGGTGCTATTTCCCCCGGTTTTCGCACTCAGCTCAAACCATGGTGGGGCTGAGGTGGGTGTATGCTCAAGGCTTGGAAGTATGTAAAGTATTCACGTCAAAGACAATGTTTTAAAATGTTATATTCTATGGTACATCACACACATATTAATTAGATCTCTATGTTTGCCGAAAATCGCTGATAAGAAAAAGATCATGAGAAATACGGTTTTGGTGATGTGATGATGAATTTTACTATATAAGCGAGTCTTTTCCGGCCATCAAATTTTTGCACCTCAGCAACAATCATGGTGGGCCCGGGGTGAGTGTGGTCTCACGAAATGTCCCCACCCCACCTTTTAAGATCTGTGCCCTTGCCTGCAATTGGCAAGGGATGGGTGCAAATGGCAAAAACACAACAAATACCTATTGAAGATGATGTCTGTGTCGGTTGAAGTAAACTTCTTGTCGTACAGTTTCAGGTCTCTGAACATTTTACCGAACTTGGCGTTATCCATCATCGGCTGGGCATCTTTGCCGGCGCCGAAAGCACAGAAAGACTTGAAAACACTCTGGAGGTCTGCGTCACTCATCGTGGCTTGCTAAACTCTCAAGAAAATTAATAAAAAGCATAGTAACGTTACCTGTGACCGATCGTGAACACACATACTGTTTATTACTCAGGAAGAGATAGAGGCAAATCATTTCATTATACTTGTCTCATTTCACTTTAAACAAAATACTCGCCAATGACACAAGAAAAAAAAGTGTACAAAACAGATGGCTTCCCAAAAAAAAACATGATACTTCAGTCGAGTTGGTCCATAATAAAAAATATAATAAATAAAACATTATGTATTTAAATAAAGTATATCAGCAAGGGCGTCGATCCATAGTTGAAAGTGGGGGGGGGGGAGACGAAATGAAAAGTAAAGCCTTGGTTGGCGACCAGGGGGCGAAGCCCCCGGAAGCTCTGGCACCTATAGCCTTTTAATTGATTTTAAGCAATGCAATTAACATTTATTTCCAGTAATTTTAAATAGAGCTGGGCCCAGAGAGGGACTTTTACAGATGGAAAGTGTAGACCACCTTAGCCCCACCATGGTTGGGGCTGAGGTAAGAAAATTTATGATTATGGCACCTCTAGTTGGTCGGAAATGGCACTCTCAGACTGAATTTAAATAGGCCTATAATTTTCATTTTTTCCACTTTTAAATTTCGAAAAAATAAGTAGGAATGGTGGGCCGGATGGGCCCCTTGAATCTGCCACTGAAATACTCACCATAAAAAGTTTTTAAAATTATCTTTTTAATTATAATTATTCCCGCTTATATATTACGTGCAAACGAACATTCATAAAAATGATTTATTATCTACTGATTAGCTTGTGAGGTATTCAAAATTCCGATACCATTAACAACAAATAAGATAAACTTAAAACAGCCATTAATTTTTTTTTTTTTTGCATGTACAGCACTTTTAAAATCAAGAGGTTTTTGCTATTCTCCTTTTTAAATTTCACTTTTGTGTATCACTAAATCGAAATAGATAGACATGTTGTGTCAAAGGCTGTATAATTATTATTTAATAATAGCTAGGCCTATATCAAATTCAATTGACTAACTATATTGTTTTGGAATTAGGAAGAACAGTAATCCTATGTATGTAGATAATATTAAACACTAATATACGTAAGGGTCGTAATAATATACAAAAGGAATAAATCGTTTATATTAGAAATTGTGCACTTTCGAGTTCGTAAAAATATTGGCCTAATAAGTTACACACGCTTCCAATTTTAACAACGTTCAGTACACTGTTTCACAATAAATTTAGCCTCTGATAACCGCTGCACAAATAAAATCGATCTAGTGGTTTCTGAGATGGTTACGAAATGTATAAACAATTGTGTTTTTACTCGGTTTTGGTCCGGAAAACATGCACCGCACTTGGAAAAGTGAACAGACAAATTTCATGACAGTCATGCGTAATTGTTATTCTTTCCATTCGTTTTTAAAAGTGGGGTTTTAATTATAGAAGATTGGTGAAAAGTGGGGGGGGGGGAACAATCGATATGATGTCCCCCTACTTTGAAAAGTGGAGGACGTGTCCCCTGTACCCCACCGATCGACGCCCATGTATATCAGTATATACAATTAATGAAAAATAAAAAATAGATATAGGCCTACTGTATTATAAATATATAGCACTATTTAATATTCAAATTGGGTTTGCTGAGTAGCGCTATAAAAAAATATAAACAGATAAATAATATACATATATATATATATATATATACTGTATATATATATATACACATATATATGTCATATATATACATATATATATATATTACATACATATGTATGTATGTATGTATATACAGCTGGTCAAATAATCCAGCTGTATGGGCAGTAACCCGAAATTTTCGGAACTGTGCCGCGGACATATATAAACAAGACTCGTATTTCGAAATGTCTGTGTTACGAAATATCCACGACACAGTCTCCAAAATCCAATGTCGACAGCCAATACACCTACCTCAGATGGTAGCGAATGAAAAATGATGGATACTCCTTAAAAAGCGCTAGGATGCGAAAATGACTGAATGACTTCAACTGCAGACAGTTGTGCGTACTGTACTCTCCAAACCTGACACGCCCACTTCTTCTTCAGGGGCTGTTATTGTCTGGACTGCTTAAGTACTTCAATGTCAGGAAGACATTCGCTATACCGAATAATATAGTCCACTTATTAAAGCTCAGATCAGCACCTGTAATTCGCTATCGTGAAAATCAACCTTTCTTCAACGCTTTGTGATGCACACCCATAAAGGTCAAGCGGTTGCACAGACAAAGAGCTTGATACGTATGAATTCATTATTATAATAGTATTATTTGATCATGTTGTGTTTTGTGACAACCGTAGCCAGGGAAACGGCGTCTGATCAATGATCAAGCAAACACGATTGCTCTGCTACCGAGTAACCTACCAGGTCGTTAATGTGGCGTACCTGGACGAGGTGTATAATAGAATGAATAGGAATTCACTTTGTAAATAAGTCAAAAAAGGAGGAAAGAAAAGAAAGATAGAAACGGAAAAGATTGTTCTTTTTTCAGTGTGTAACGCACATATCTTCAAGGAAAGCCGACGATTTAATATCAATCAACCTCTTGGCCCGTTTGAAATAGGAATGAATTCATTATTATAATAGTATTATTTGATCATGTTGTGTTTTGTGACAACCGTAGCCAGGGAAACGGCGTCTGATCAATGATAAAGCAAACACGATTGCTCTGCTACCGAGTAACCTACCAGGTCGTTAATGTGGCGTACCTGGACGAGGTGTATAATAGAATGAATAGGAATTCACTTTGTAAATAAGTCAAAAAAGGAGGAAAGAAAAGAAAGATAGCTGTCTCTTATACACATCTGTGTAGACCACCTCAGCCCCACCATGGTTGGGGCTGAGGTAAGAAA